TCTCTCTCTCTCTCACACACACACACACACACACACACACACACAGACAAGTATGCACATGCTCCATTGAGGAAAAGTGAACGAAGGACAACTGCACTGCTGGCATCTGTATAGATCCATAGCCCACAGACATAAATGTCTAGTAACTGCTGAAGTGCTTGCTGGAGACCTCTAAAAAGAAAGTTCATCAGTTACATTTCCTAGATTCTAGAACTTAAGTTGGCACAAGCTCTAAGTTCCAGCAAAACAGAAATATGAGCTAGAACACAGGCCTAGGACTTAAACATCAAACCTCAAAAGTTACTGGTGAAAGACAATTCATCAGCAGTGTTTTGTCCATCTGGACTCAGAGCCAAGAGCTGGCCGTGCTGCTGTTGGGGACACTGTGAACCAGTGAGAGAAGAGCCAGCTCTTCACTCCCAGGATGGCAGTAGGTATTGCTAGTGTTGATTTACAGCTAAAAGTCAGCTGTAATTAGATGCAAAGGAACGCAAACTCGGCTATTTCCACTTAGATTACTATCCAGAAGACCCTGCCATCTAAAGGCCTGATAGGCACCGCACCACAATTAAATTTAAATGGAACACACATAAACACACACAGCTATAGCTATATACCTATATAGGTGTATAGATATATAGCTATCTCGATAGGTAGATATAGATATATAGAGAGAGATATAGATACAATATAGACATAGATACAAATATAGTTAACCATTAAATCTAAGGAGATTTATATATATATATATATATATATATACACACATATATACATATATATACATATATACATATATATATATATTCCTATCACAGGGCAAAATGGAAACCCAAAGTTTCTATCTCCAGATGCTTTTCTCTTTTCTTTCTACCATCTCATGTTTCACTTGCTGAGGACTGCCAATGGCCAAAAACTGTGTACATCCAATTGAATAAAGACTGTAACCACCAGCTGTTAGCTTTGACTTGTATGAACAATGGTTTTGGAAGACCATCCTGTCATATGTATTAGATTCATTTCCTTTGTCAAGCTACAGTCAAATCCATGTGATGACTAGCTACATTATAACAAGGTTCTTATGAATATTTCTCACAGCAAGTTCACCATAAATTAATTTGACTTTCACAGAAATAATTATAAAATCAGGCATCACTGAGCATTTTCTTCATTCCTTGACCCCTTTCATAGGCGCCTGCATATCCAAAAGAGACATTCATAAATTCCTGTTATGTCCCATGACAGTCTATCTAGTTCACTTACATGGAAAATAAAGTCATGTAAACAATAACTGGCTGAAAAGCTGTAGCAAATTGCTTTGCCTCCTTGGGCCTCAGCTTCCCCATCTAGAAATGAAGGCCTTAACGATAGGATTTTCAATTGCCCTCTTTCCAGAAATTAAAATTTAATTCCTTCCAAGAATTAAAAAAAGAAAAATTCCTCTTGCAATTAAAAAAAAGTTCACATATATAAAAATATTCAGGGTCGGCCGAGTGGCTCAGTTGGTTAAGAGCTCGCTCAAGAGTGTGAGCTCTGAGCAATAGTGGTTCGAGTCCAGCCCGAGCTGAGCAGCCGCTGAGCTGCCAACAGGTAGCAGGATGGCTCAGCTTAAAAAAAAATAATAATAAAAATTCAAAACCTTGATTTAAAAAGTATCAAGGCTTTCACACAGAGCCACCCCATCCACAAGGCATAGTCAGACATATCTCTGGCTAAGAAGAGAGCAACAGCTTCAGTCCCCCAGGCTGCCTCTCTCCTTATCTTTTGGGCCAGAGTAGCAGAGTGTGTTAGTGGAGGCTGTTGACTGCAGTCAGTACAGTGCAGCTGCCAACCCCAAGGGCCTCTGGCCCAGAGACAGATGCTGTGCTGCAGATCGAGTCCTGATTCATGCCTCACCAGAAGCCAGCACTACCCATTCATATGTTGTCAAGTGAAAGAGCCAATAAATTCAGTCTGAGTTGAAAGTTCTGTTGCCAGCATCTGAAAGGTTCTGACCAACATAGAAATAACATCAGGCTGCAAAAGTTTCTGCTCCCAGAGTAGCTGAATATGTCTCTCTTCACACTGAGCTCTCATCTTCCTAGAGCCAACCCTGTTCCCAATCCAAGAGAAACAGTTCCTGCAGGAACAACTTCCTCAACACGAAAGCAAGAAATGGCATGGCATAGACCAAATTTTCTCCTCATATGCAGAAGAGAAGCCTTTGGAAGGGGAGGAGAGAGGGAGAGTCAGAGAACTGTGAACTCATCATCAGCCAATGTCCAAAACAGAGCTATGCATAGGGCACACTGAATTATAACAAGGAGTAGTCATATAGAGGGGAAATCTAAGAACACTGGTTCTTAGAGCTAAAAAGAACCTTAAAATGTACCTGGTCCCACCTTTTACTTCACAGATACACAACCCAAGGCCAATTACTTTTTTCTCAGAGTGCACAACTAAAGCCAAGACTACAATCCAAGGCATCAATAAAGAAAGTTTTCTCACATTTAGACTTGTCAAAAAGGAAAAAAATAGAATTTGCTATGCCAGAAAATGGCATTTTTATTACGAGAATAACAGATGGAGGCCAGCTCATCATCTGTCACTGATTCCTATGCTGGGTGGGAAGTTGGAAGAGATGACCAAAGGCTCCTTTCAAGTCTAAGAATTAATGAAAACTCTCTACTATAATAAAAGATTTTTCTGTGGCACAGGGAATACAACTTTTTTACGTAGTGTGAAAACAGGTTGAGGCATCTGTTTCTTTGTTCCACCTCGTCGACTCACATCATCATTGACAGCAGTGAGGATGGATAAGATATCTTCATGTCTGCAGGCAAAAAAGAAAATATATTTTCAATAAGGAGACAGAAATCACATACCAGGTCTCAGAAAGAAGACCGCAAAACATGTGGCTTCTTCCTAGTCTAACATGCTCACATTCTAACTGCAATCCTGTCAAATATAAAGAAATACTTCTTCTGAATTGGAAAAACAAATGCTAAATTATACAAAAATTTTCAATTCTATATTCAGTGTTTAAGAACATTATAATAATTACATCTGGCACTTGAATGCACTTAGTCCACAAAGGAATTTTGCATATAATTATTTTTCCATGTTTTTCCTTCAAGCTGGTAGATTATATATATAAATATATATATATATATAAATATATATATATATTTATATATATATATTTATATTTATATATATATATATATATATATAGAGAGAGAGAGAGAGAGAGAGAGAGAGAGAGAGATGTGATAGAAGGAATAGATAGGTAGGTGACAGAGATAGAGCAAGAGCCTATTATTAATAATGCCCTCTCTATTCTTGGTTTTGGGAGGGATACAAAGATAAATATGATATAATTCCTGATCTTAAACACTTAGAATGCAGACTTGAAACATGTACCAAGGATGGCATAAACATAAAATTCATAATGCAAGGCAGAATGTGATCGATACCAAGTGAAAAGTAGGTTCAAGTTGCACTGAAAGTTCAGAGGAGAAAGAAAGCACCTCTAGCTGGGAGAAGAGAAGGCTCCACAGAGGGGGTAGCATTTGAGCCTGAGCTTGCAGGATCTGTAGCATTTACCAGAATGTTCCAGGGGTGGGCAAAACACATCATTGGAAGTAAAGCATAGGCTCTTCAAACAGAATTCATGTTTGAATCATGGCTCCATCAATCACTGATTACGGGGTCTTAACATGTTACTTACTTCACTATGCTTCAATTTTCTCAACTCTAAAATGAGGACCATAATTGTATGCATTTTAGGGATTGCCATGATAATTAAATGAGATAATATGTAAAGCACTTAAAACACTGGCTACAATTATTCATTGACCATTATATTTAGTATTATCAGTATTACTACTACTTCTCATTATCATCATTGTTATTTTTCACGTGGTTCTTAGTCCTTTCGTCCTGCTTTGCACTAGCTGTCCTCTCTGTTCCCAGATCTCCCTGTGGCTAACTCAATCACACTTGAAATATCACCTCTACCAAGAGACCTTCTCAAGTAGCTCCCTGGCCCCACTCTCTATCATTATTCTGTTTTGCCTTCTTCATAGCAGGCATCTCTTCCTGAAATTATCTTTAACTTAAATATTCGGTTATTTACATTTTTATTATATGTCTCCCTCTCACTGGTCTGTAAGCTCCATGGAAAAGAGATGTTGTCTCTCTTGTTCACAACCGTACCCCTAGCCCCTAGCTCATTGCCTAGTATAGTACACATAGTATCCCCTTGATAAATATTGCCTTGTCCCTGAAGCCATAGGACATTGGTCTTTGATGGCTATGATGGAAATGGAGAAATTTGTAAAGAAAAGGGAAAAGCTTAAGTAACTCAAGGCTCCAATCCTGATTTCCTATCCTGAATTCCCAGAAGAGCATTGTGGCTCTTTCTAGAAATGGGGAGTCAGGAATAGGAGCTCTTGGAGAGAGATGAGAATATGAATTCAGGACTGTTCATATGCAATGTGAAATCCAAGGGCAACACAGAAGTAGAATGTCTGGAAAGTTGTGAAAAATGTGCACAACTCACCCTAAGAATGAGGTTGACTTGGTCAGTTATTCATTGGTCCAGCAAAGAGTTATAAATCTCAACAATATATCAGATACTATATCAGGTGCCAAGGATATGACATTGAGTAAAGCCACTCTGCCCTTCAGAAACTCAGAGATGGCAATTTAGGAGACATTTTCATGCAGAGGCCAGCGACCTCCAGGTATAGCTAAAGCTACCAAGAAGAGCTATAAAGAGACAGCAGAGAAGGAGGCCCGGGGAAAAACCATGGTGAAGGACCAATTCCAGGGTACCAGGTAAGGAGCATGTGGCAGAGAAGAAAAGTTGTCAGAGCAGTGGCAGGAGACCAAGTATATTATAATGTCAAAGGCAGCACATAGGCACTCATTAAATATGTGACTGATAAATGAATAAAAGAAAGAACAAATAAAAGACCCCTATGCCTTTATTCATGCTGCTCCCTCTGCCCAACATGTCTTTCACCCCAATTATTTACCTAACATCTATCATCTCTGGAAGCTTCCCCTGATCCTCCAAATCTGGGTGTTCCCATGACACCAATGCTTTACAATGTGTATTTATCCCTGGGGGATGTTCTTCCCAATCTATTTGTCTATCCCTCTATTGTGAGCAACTTGAGGACCAAGACTATATCTTCTTTAGATTTACATATTCTTTTCCAGTTATATGCTGATGCTCAATACAAGTTTGTTGGATGCATGGATGGGTGGATGGATGGATGGATGGATGGATGGATGGATGGATGGATGGATGGATGGGCAGGTGGATGGATGGATGGATGCATGGATGGATGGATGCATGGATGGATGGATACATGAATGGATGCATGGGTGGGTGGGTAGACAGATAGATGGACAAGTAAGTGGATAGATGGGTGGATGAACAGGTAGATGGAGGGAACAACTCAAAATTCTCACCTTGGGACCAAGTCCTTCAAATGGTTATACAGAGATTGAATATACCAGCTACCTTCGGTCGTGTGCCGAAAGGATACGTAGCCAGGGACAGTGGCCAGGCCAAGAAGGAAATCTGCCTCAACAGGAACGCTGTCCTGAAGGGGAGGGTTTGTCGACTCAGGATTTATTGCATCTGCATCAATGGATATGGAAGGTTGTATTTCTTCACCTTGACAGGCCTGGATGAAAAAGAGTTTGGGTTTGTTGGCCAGACCAGGGCACTGCTGGGCTGTGAAATGAGACATGATGAACCGAATGGGAATGAGGAACCCATCAGAAGAGTAGACAGCTCCAAATCGCCCATGGGTCAGAACACAGAACACAAAGGAGTCTCCATCATCATGGTCTTGACGACTCTTATATTCTTGCAGAACCTTCTCCAGGTATTCTTTAGTCACATCAACATATGTAGTTACTCTGAACCCAAGCCACTTGAACACACTGTTCAGGCACTCTTTAAAAAAAGAGAAGGGGAGGAATAATGAAATTGAGTGCAATGAAATAAAATGAAGGGGTCAAACGATGCTAATGGTTATAAAAATTGCATTGCAAATAGCCTGAAGCTTTGGATTTTTTTCACTCTCATAACAATAAAATTTTACAATTAACCTGCCTTTTTTATAGTAATCACAGTACTATCACAATGGTCTTGAGAGTCAGCAGAGGCCAGAGTTGCATGCTATTCCACAGACGAGAGACCTGAGGCCCCGTGAGTCTTTCACAGTCACAAACCTGGTTAGTGGTGAAGCCAGAGCTCAAACCCAGGTTTTCTCATGCTGTCCCAGCCTGCTTTCTCCCAAACCACAGGGTCGTAAACGGTCAGAGATTCTTGTCACTCTTTTAAGCAGGCTGGAGATACCCCAGGTGCTATGGATTAAAAGTTTGTGTCTCCCCAAAATTCATATGTTGAAATTTTAATCCTCAAGATTGAGGGTATTAAGAAATGGGGGCTTTGGGAGATGCTTAGGTCACAAGGATTGAGCCCATGAAGAGACCTCAAAGAGCTCTCTCATCCCTTCTGCCAAGTGAAGTTACAGAGAGAAGACAACCACCTAGAAAGCAGACACCGAAAAGCCAGAGCCTTGATCTTAGACTTTCCAGAACTGTGAGAAATAAATATTTGTTGTTTTTAAGCTACCAGTATATAGTCATTTGTTATGGCAGCCTGGATAGACTAAAACACCAGGGACATACAAGAAACTTAGAAACATTTATAATATCATCCTTACATTTAAATGGAAGATGAAAATTACAGAAAAAAATATGAAAATAAGAAATGATTGTAAGATTCCCCATCGTGCGTTTGCTACACAATGCCAGCCTTTCTTACCTGCATCTTTATTGGTCCCTTCTCTTACTTTCAGGGAGGTCGAGGTAAAGGTGTGGTTGTTGATAATAACACAGTGGCCTCTAAATTTCCGGTCCATCCTGTACACAGCTGCCTCCTTGAAAGAAGAAGAGATAGAGACACTTATCAGGGAATCCTCATTTTAAGGGTTTAATGTTTCTAACCAACCACTCCATTTTTCAGCACCAAAGGCAGGGAGTTCTCAAGACCCTGGTCCTGGTCTGGAATTAATCAATTAATTCCAAGGTGACATGCCAGCCCTTGATTCAAATTCAGACTTCATTTGATTTCACTGCAGAATGTCAATTCTCAGTGTTAAATAACAGAATATGTATCCTAACTCTGGCAAACCCAGGGTTTATGCAAAAGCATCTTCCCTTGGATTAGCAAAGTGAAGAAAGCGTAGGTAAGGATCAAACAAGAAAACCAAAATATCAAATGGTAATTTTTTTTTTCAGATGGTAGGGTTTGGAGTGATCTAATTCCTCTAAAAACAGAGAAATCCCTTTTGTAGAGATCACAGTGGGAATTTTTTAATATGTGCAATTATTTCTGGGGACTATTTTAAACAGCATATGATTACAAATTATTTGAGTTGGCATCAGAGGGGCCTCTGTGTGGCTAAAATGATCTCTGGAAAACATGGTACATCTTTAATCCAAGTAGAAAAGAAAAAAAAATCAGTTGAAAAATGAAATTTCCCTTTCTGGAAATAATTCAAAAGGCATGCATGACTAAAAAGGCAATAGCATCTCCTCTGTTGCCAAAGGTCAACACACTTCTGATGATTACAGAAAAATTTGGGAAGGATAGAGATAATCACAGAAAGAGGGAAAAGAACCAAGACAGACACAAAGAGCTCTCAGCCCTCAAAGTCATTCAAGGCTGGACCCCAGGTGGAGACGCCCTAAAGAAACTGTCCAGATCTTTGTGCTAGTTTCTGAAGTTAGAGTGTAAGCAGATCTTCATGGAGACCAGGGTTGCTCTGTCACCCAGAGAGAGAAATACTTAAGACTCTTCAAATATCTTTCCCCAAACCTTACATATTCTTACACAGGATGGGTTGAGAGTCAACATCACGTGAATCAGCTCAAGAATTCCTGGTAGAAAGCTTGGTTGGGTTGAGTCACCATTTATCTGTCACTGGATAGAGAGAGGCTGGGAGGATACCAAACAGAAGAAAGAGGAAGTAAAAAGACCCAGAGACCCAATCTGGCAGGACAAAAAGCCGTGCACAGCCCTTGGATTACTTAGTCATGCTTCTGGCATTGGCTGAGGATGGTACTGTTTGGAAGTGTTTCTCAAAATAAGAATCCATTATAGACAGGAAGCCAACAATGAGATATTTGTCTTGTTACAGTAACAGGAAAATGTATCTTGAAGCTTTTCTTCTCACACCAGCAAGTACAATCCAGCAAGCTCTACCCTGTCTCTGAGGCCTGAGTTAATTATTAACTATGGTTAAGGTTCAGTCCTGGGTGCTCAGCTCAGGCTGAGTGAGTCCAGCATCCCCCAAACCAGAGAGCACACGAAAAGGGACCCAAGCTGCAGTCATACGGAGGACCTGTACATTCCTCCTCATCTTGGGGAAGGTAACGCTCCAGGAAAGCCATGTCTAAACTTTGAAACCGCAGAATTGCAAAACTGAAAGTAACGCGTTGTTTACTTTTCCGAGAAGTGGAACCGTTGCCTAAGCTACACTGTGGTCAGTCTAGGTCTTCAGAGTGAGCTCTGGAGCCAGACTGTTGGGTTCATATCTCGGCTCCACTCCTTTCTAGCTGTGTCCTCTGATAAACTTTACACATCACAGAGAGATTACACCAAAAAGCTGTTTGTTCATAAGCACGTTAGCCCAGTGGCAGTTTCTGGAATATTTTCACAAGGTCATGGTTTCTGGGCAAAGATTCAGGGCACCAAACACACCATTGCCAAGTCCTTCCCTAAAGTCTTTCTCTTTCTGAAAAAATACATGCAGCCCCTGGAGCCATCCTACACCAGACATTCCCTCACGTGCTCACGTGCCGCATTCTGCTGTGTCACCGCTGGCCTAGAGGCTTCAGCCCCGCCAAGAGTGTCTTCCCTCCCCACAGAGGGCAACTTCACTCTGAAGGGTTGTCTGCATTTCCCAGAAGCTGCTATGCTAGGCTTTCAGAGTAGAAACCACCTCTTCACCCCCCTGTAGGAAAGCCTGTGTCAACGAAAAACATCCAGCCTAAGAGAAAGCTTGTAGAGTTTATATGAGCCAAACTGATGACAATTGCCGGGAAGCAAAAAATCTCAACGGACTGAGAAAAATGCTCCACAAAATGGAGGTTTGCAGCTTATTTTATATATAAAATCGAAGGAGGAAGGTTACATGAAATCCATTGGTGATAGATTAAGGAGGTGGGAGGAAAGCAAAGCAGGGAAATCTCTGAGATTTGGAGTAAATTGGAGAGACAGGTACTTCTTTTACATAGGTGGGTGCAGGATAGCTAACAGTTCGCTTTTTACAGCATGTAGAGATGGTAATCAGGAGACAAGCATAATAATGAGGGATTTTGCAGTTTCCAGCTCTGGTCTGGAAAAAGGATTACTGATGTTCCAAGGATGTCATCTTAGGTGCAAAAAGACGATAGGCCCACTTGAAGGCACAGCTTAATTTTATGAAGGAAGCTTTGGCTAAAAATGTGACTTCCCGCCATGACTCAATTAGTTATGAAGATTTTTTTTTCTTTTTTGCTCATACCATCTTATGAGGTTATTTTCAGTCTCCTGAGCTCTAGGGGCTGGCCGAGTGGCATGCTGGTTAATAATTGGCTTGGGAGTGCCAGCTCTGAGCAGCAGGGCCCCGGTTTGGATCCCGCATGAGGGCCAGTGACGCTGCACCTTCTACAGCTAAGATGGTGAACAACAGCTCAACCTGAAGCTGGGCTGCGGTGAGTCTCCGCGATGGCATAGGCTGCAGTGGGCTGCTGTGAGCTGTCGTGAGCCGTCCAATGGCCAGTGTGCAACTGCTTCACCCGGGAAGAGCGCAATGATCACAATACCAACATGGGCCAGTGAAGCGATGTCCTCCACAACTAGACTGAAGAACAAAAGGACAGCAACTTGTCTGTTCCCCTTCCCCAATTCCCCAACACTGTTCCCCTCCCACAATTCCCCAGTAAAATCCTTTTAAAAAAAATCTAAACTTGATGCAGAGTATAGATACCTAATCTCCAGGCATAGAAAATGTCACTGGCAGGTGACAAGAAGAGCATCAACTCCCTTGTTCCAAAGGGGAAGGTTCACAAAGACACAGTGGCAAGAATATGTTATAACACATGCACAAGGGAATTTATTCTTGTGCGTTATTTGGAATAATTAAAGACTGAAAATAACCCTAATGTCTACTGATAGGGAGCGGTTGAAAGAACTATGGTATATTCCCACAGTGGCGTAGGATGCAGAAGACAATCTCTATACACTTCTCCAGGAGATACTGTTACATGAAGGAAGTAAGGTGAAGGGTAGTATTTTAGTGCGCAACCTCTTTTAGAAAAAAGGTGAGATATGGGTGGGTTTTCTTTTTAAAAGTAACAATAAGATAGATCAGAAAACTAATAAAAATGGTGATCTATGGGGGAAGGGAAGAGGGGGCAGGGATGCAATCCAGATGTCTCTGTGTATGATCTAGCTATAGTTTTTACTTTGGGCCTACCCAAATGTTTTATATAATTAAATACAAAATTGAAACAGTATAGTGCCCTCAGCTTTTCTGCAATGTCCTCTCCATCTACCCTACCCCCACCAGCCCCAGTCCTTCGCCTGCAGCAGAAAGCCCCAAGGGGCACATGAGCAAGGTGTTCTGGGGAAGGGCTGACCCTGCCACTGGCCTTGTGGTGAGCAGCACCAGGAGACCTGTTTGAGGTGACAGGCAAGCTACCTCCAAGTACCTGGGAGTGCCTCCCTGCTGGAGCCCACAAGGCTTCTGGCTACAAGAGGCTAACTTATTTTCAACACAGACCAAACGTGCACTGCCTCACTCCCAGGCTGCACAACTCTGAGGGAACAATTCCTCAGCTCTGAGGGAACAAATGCAAAGTTCAGTTCATTTTCCAAAAGACTTCCTGCCTTTCTTTTTGCAAGGCACATTTCCCTTCCTCTGGAATTCTAGAGTCCTTCTGGCAGGATGTTTTCTGAGTTTATCTAGCTGGTTTTGAAGCAGTTGAGCAAATTTCCTGAGATTAGGGGCATCACATGTGGAATAGCGGGCTCTACCCAGCATCTCCAGGCCCCCCGGTTTCCTTGATTTGTGTCTTTTCTTGTGCTAATAAAGTCACCCAGAACAGGGATGTGGAACAAGCTTTAAACTCTGCATGGCTTTCTTTTTTAGAGAATGTGGCATCCTCTGTTGGCACCCACCTAGAAAGGAATGAATAAATGAATGAATGACCCACTGCCTGGTTATGTCTGGTGCTCTTTCCACTGTTTTCAAGAGGGGTCCAGTAAGAAATTCTATGCCACATTCAAAAATATTGACTTGCTTTTTAAACAAATTAGGGAATGTTGCTGAAGATACAGTTTCTTCTCATTAATGCAATTGTTGGCAGGGCTCTCTAATATAAGGAAACCCCTCAGGTAAATATGAAACATGAGATAATTTACCAAGTGTTATTTTTATCCGTCACTTTATGGAGAGGGGCAGGGTTGCCTAGATAACTCTTAAGACACCTTTCCAACCCTTATAGCCTATGGGAACATATGCAATGTGAGGTGCTGCCCCTCAAAGCCTTCTGCATGCCCAGCACCACCACAACTATCTTCATCTTCATCTGGCCATGGCCAAAATCATCCAATATCAGCAAAACAGCGGCACTTAGAGACCAAGGCTGAGCCACATCTCTTAGAAATTATTGAATTTCTATGAGACAAAGAGCAAAGCCGTGTGTGTGTGTGTGTGTGTGTGTGTGTGTGTGTGTGTGTGTTACATACACATTAGTATCTGAGCACACACAAAAATAGTTGAAAGTGTGGTGGAGGGAATAAAGTTTAGTGAGCAAAATAAACTTTGGGAAGGAGAAAGGAGGGCATTTGTTACAGTAGACTGTTGAGTGTTGACTAAGAATTGTGGAGAGAATACTGGAGTTTGAAAATCATTGCTTTTCAACCAACATAGTAAATAGTCAATCACACACAAATCACCAGTGGATGCTCAATCTAGAGGAAAATTTTGATGCAGAGTAGAATATGTGCTTCTTCTTAAAAATGTGTCCCCACCACTTGTTTATTAGTTGCAAGGGGAAAATAGTAATTATATAAAGGTAACTAAATAGTGAAGAAATCAAACAACATCTTGATCACAGAATCAAAATTAGCGTCACAAATGGGGGCAGAGGACACCATTGCTTCCAGATGTGATGCCTTTAGAAAGATACATCGTTTATGTAATATTCTGACCAGAATATATAGCTTGAATCTAATCACGAGACAACACCATACACACCAAAAACAAGACAAATTGGCAAATTCCACGTTTTTATAAAAGGTGGGTGGGGGGGATGACTGTATTCTTCAAAAGTGTCAATGTCATAAAAGAGAAGAGTTGTAGAGATGTTCAAGATTAAAGGAGACTAAAGAAACGTGACAACTAAATACCATATATGATGCAATAATAGATTGAATTATGTACTAGAGGGAGAAAAAAGTTATAAGGAATAGTATTGGGTCAACAGACAAAGTTGAAACATGGACCTTTGACTTAGATGTAGTATTATATTAATTTAACTTTACTGGCATTGATAACTGTACTATAGTTCTGTAATAGAATATCCTTAGGAAATGCACACTAAAGTATTTAGAGGTAAAGAGCTAAAATGTATGCCAATAACTCTCAAAAAGTTCAGAAAAAATTATGTGTTTGCATAGATAGATAGATAGGACATGATAGAGCATGCAAAGGATAAGGCAAATTGGCTAAAATGTCAACAACAGGTGGGTGAATCTGGGAAAACAGTATACAGTGTTCATTATATTAGTCACATTTTTTAAACTTCTCTGTAATATTGAAATTATTTCCAAATTTAAAAATAAAAAATTGTGGCTGTAAAAGTATGAAACTATTAAAGTAGTAAAGAAGCTATGAAAGAATCTTTTAATAATAAAAAAGTTAAACGTCTACAAACACCCCAATTAAAAAATGGGCAAACGACTTGAGTAGACATTTCTCCAAAGAAGATATACAGATGGACAACAAGCACATGAAAAGATGCCCAACATCAATAATCATTAGGGAAGTGCAAATCAAAATCAAATGACATACCACATCACAACCATTATATCAAAAACCAAGAAAATAAGTGTTAGTGAGGAGGTGGAGAAATTGGAACCCTTCTGCATTGTTGGTAGAAATACAAAATGATGCAACTGCTGTGGAAAACACTATGATGATTCCTAAATAAAAAAATGAAATAGAGAATGACCATATAATCCAGCAATTTTACTTCTGGGTAAATACCTAAAAAAACTGAAAGCAGGGTCTCAAAGAGGTATTTGTACTCCCATGTTCATAACAGCATTATTCACAGTGGTCAAAAAGTGGAAGTAACCAAAGCGCCCATCAATGGATAAATGGATAAACAAAATGTGGTATATACACACAGTAGAATATTATTCATCCTTTAAAAAGAAGAAAATTCTGACATGGATGAACCTGGAGGACATTATACTAAATGAAATAAGCCAGTCACAAAAAGACAAATATTGTATGGCTCCACTTATATGAGGTACCCAGAGCAGTCAAATTTATAGAGACAGACACTAGAATGGCGTTTACCAGGGCCTGGAGAGAGGGATGAAATGGACAGCTATTGTTTAATGGATATAGAGTTTCAGTTTTGCAAAATAAAGTTCTGAAGATTGATTACACAACCATGTGAATGGACTTAACAGTACTGAACTGTACATTTAAAAATGGTTAAGATGATAAATTCTATGTTATTTGTATTCTACCACAATTTTGAAAAGAAAACAAAAACAAAAAAGTCTAAGGCCAAGCTAACTTCATTGAAACTGACAGATGATGGCAAAATAGAACAGCCCAAGTCTGCTGGGAAGAAATATAAATCTCAGGAAAGAATGTCATATGTTTCCAAAGGATCATGATAATGTTGCGAGGAACAAATTGCAGTATCTCCCCGTTGTTTCCTCCTCTACACACCCTTCTGTGATGTGCACTACAGGAAGTCAGTTCTTGTCCTCAGGGAGGACGGGCTACATAATTTGTGGAGCCCAGTGCAAAATAAAAACGTGAGACCCATTGTTTATACATTATTAAGAATTTCAAGGGCCAGCCGAGTGACGTGTTGGTTAGGAGTTGGCTTGGGACACCAGCTCTGAGCAGCAGGGCCCCAATTCAGTTCCCACATGAGGGCCAGTGATGCTGCGCCCTCTACAGCTAAGATGGTGAACAACAGCTCGACCTGGAGCTGGGCTGCTGTGAGTCGCCTGTGGTAGGCTGCAACCCCTGCTGCAATGGGCTGCCGTAAGCTACTGTGAGTGGCTGGCAGCTGGCGTGAGCTGCCGTGAGCTGTTGTTCAATGGCCAGCAAGCAACTGCCTCACCCAGGAAGAGCGCAATGATCACAATACCAACATGGGCCAGTGAAGCAATGTTCTCCACAACTAGACTGAAGAACAAAAGGACAGCAACTTGTCTGTTCCCCTTCCCCGATTCCCCAACGCTGTTCCCCTCCCCCAATTCCCAATAAAATCTTTAAAAAAAAAAAAAGAATTTCAAAACAGTGACAGCTACACATTAAAAAAGCATGGGCCCACCCTATCAATATTGTCTCTGTTGTATAAAAAAGCATGGGCTCTCTGAGACTGCACAGGCTGTATGCCAATGAAGCCAGCCCTGATCCAACCCCACAAATAAGACCAGATGACACAGCACAGCACAGCAGTGTACTAGAGTCAGCTCAAACCAGCTAGTGAGAGCAATTGTTAGGTTTTCAAACATTCTGCAATCCAGTTGATATCATGTTGGTAATCAGGAACTCTCTCTCTCTCTCTCTCTCTCTCTCTCTCTCTCTCTCTCTCTCTCTCCTTCTTGGGGGGTGGGGGTGGAGAGTGGATCTGATGCTTAAACACTACCAATGAACATACCGGCAAGGCTTCAAGGAATTGTTGAACGTTTGAACGGGAAAATACTTCTTCCTCTCCTTGAGGCAATGATTCAGTTCCCTTTTCTATGGGAGATGTCACTACCTGGGCGGCTGGAAATAGAATTACAGATAGGAAAACAAAAATCACTTTCTGACTTGTAGCAATTCAAGGTACAATCAGCAAAAGAAATTATGTTACAGACACCTGTACATTTGTTGTGCCATATGCTTAAAGAAGCCTACATATATACGTAGAAAAATAAATGTGAATTTATAAATTATTTTTATTTATCATTATATTTTTATTCTTTGTATCATTATATTTTATTTCTTATTGTTTTATGTTTTTATTATTTTTATAATTGTGTTAGTTCTTTAAAATTTATTATATACTTTGCCAAATACTATTTCAGTACTTATGGTGCTTAATGTGTCAGATAATTGCCAAGTAGGGATTATAAAAGCATTACCTCAAGAAATAAAACCAGAACTCAGACTATAATAGCAAAAAAAAGAAGAAGGAAAGAAGGAAGGAAGAGAGGGAAGGAGGAAGAAAAGAAGGGAAAGAAGGAAGAGGAAGAAAAAGAAAAATCATTCAAAAGTCGTAATTGAATAAATATGTTATGTACATAAAATGTATTTCTATGGAATCATTAATAAGAATGAGTTATATCTATATTATATACATGAGAAAATGTCAGATATATTAGGTGAGAATAAAGCAAATTATAAAATATGATTAGTATGATCTTAGTTAAATATATATTAATCTACACACACACACACACACGCGCGCACACACACACACACACACACACACACGCACACACACGCACATGCACACACACACACCCCTGTCTCTATAAAGAAGAAAGGCTACAAAAATATACTCCAAATAGTGGTTATCTTTGAGGTATGGGCGGAAGTAGAGGAAGAAGAGACAGACTTTTTTACCTTCTACACTGGTGTTATTGTCATTATTTGAGTTTTATTTAATTTTCTTATATTATTATACATATTTTTAATAAGAAATTTAAAATACTAAAGCACATCAAGACTCAAGAAAACTCAAAAGTTATCCAAGTGGTTCTTAAATAGAGCTTGTGTTCTAATCAGACACATGGACTTTATTTTAGGATCACACTCACAAAAAAAGTCTAAAATCTGCACACCTTCTATATTTTCAGTCCTTTAGTCCTTCATCCTAAATGGCAGAATTAGGCCCAAACTCTTACGACTGTAGAAAGTCACTATTAAAATATCAATTGACACCTATAATATAATAATAAATATATATTTGGTCTCTGCTCCCTTTCCTGGCACACAGCTCCTAAAACCCCAGGAATCTCTGAAGTGCTGTGTCTTTTATATGCTACTGAGATGACTGGGGTGGGGGTGGGGGGGCGCTCCTGAATAGCCTGTCAAGACCTCTAGGAAAGGAAGAAGAACTAGAAGTTGAATTTATCATAACAGCCAATGATCTAATCAATCAAAACCTACATATGAAGCTTCCATAAAAAAACCTAACTGAAGGGGGTTCAGAGAGTTTCCTGGTTGGTGAAAATGTGGAGTGGAGGTGCGGGGATGGTGCACTGTCTGAAGAGGACAAGGACGCTCCACGTCCTTCCCGCGTACCTTATGTTATGCATCTCTCCCGTTTGGCTGTTCCTAAGTCATATCCTTTCATAATAAACCAGTAATCTAGTAAGTAAGCGATCTTCCTGAGTTCTGTGAGCCATTCTAGTAAATTATTGAACCTGAGGAGGGGGTCATGGGAACCCCCAGTTTGTAGCCAACTCAGATAGAAGCTGTGGGTAATCTGGGGACCCACTATTTGCAACTGGTGTCTGAAGTGGGGGGCAGTCTTGGAGGATTGAGTCCTTAACCTAACTTAGGGTCTGCATTAACTCTGGTTAGCGCCAGAATTGAGTTAAATTTGCATACTAGATTGACTAACTGAACTCTAAAATGGGTGTGGCATAAAAGCTTCATGAATATATTCATGAGATTTTATTTATAGCCCTTGTTTAACAGTGGAGAAATAGACTTGGAAAAACACAAATTTTGGCATACTGATACATAGTAAGGCAGCCAGGTTTGACAGCCCCCCTGTGCTATTACCTCTATAAAATACTCCAGCAATACCACCTTTACAAGACAGACTGAAAAATAATAATAAAATTCTTCTCTGGTAATAATTTCTGAGAATATGAAAATTTTCATGACTTTCCTCTCTGACAAACATATTCATAGTAACATGTATTGAATGCTTTACTCTGTGCCAGACATATGTTTTATAGGAATGATAAAATTCTTATCCTCAAAAAAACCCATGAGGTAAGTATTATCATTATCCCCACTTTATAGATAGGGAAAGTGAGACACAGAAACGCCAAGGAAAGGGCCGCTGCACCTCTAATAATAGAGTTTTGGCAGTCAGAATTCCATGGATGTCACTCTTAATCCTTGTGCTATCCTGCCTCTTTCTTTTTTATGTTATTTCATTCAAAATGATTTCCTATACGCTCACTTCCATGTAAGAATGAGAAGACATTTGTCTAAAACTACTTTTCCCCACTAGAATATAGGTTCCTAAAAGGAGCTCCTAAAACTGTGTCTACTACAAAGTATGCATTCAATAAATATGTTTGAATAAACAAATGTGGAAGAGTTCTGGCTTTCCCAAGAGAATATCATCAGAGTGATGAGCAAACATCATACGTGACCCATTAGTTTAAGAATTCTTATGGCCTGGTGCAAGCAAGCAAGCACAGGTTAGTTACCTTTCTCTCTTCTATATTTTTCTATCTTTCTTATAAGATGAGGTGCAGCTTTTTTGCAGAGATTCTCCAGTACCGTCAGATTATTTTCATCTATTAGAGCTTGTTTCTCCATACATACCAGAAAACTTATAGAGGTCTGCAAGAGAATCAGTGGAGTCACATTTAGTTGCCTACTGAGTATCCATTCATTCATTAACACTACCCTCATGGCCACTGGACACAGGTTTTGCATTGATAAATAAGGTAGAGTATTTATCCCCAAGGAGTTCAATAGTAAATCTCTACACAACCTACATTAATACTAGATACCAAATATATATTAACCCAATATACATATATATACATTATATATATATATACCAAATATACGTGTGTGTGTGTGCGTGTGTATGTGTGTGTGTGTGTGTGTGTAAACACATACCAGGCAGTGTTTGCTGTATATTAACCTCAAAACAATTCAATGAGGTAAAGGTAAATACTATTATAATTTCTACTTTAAAAATGAAACAACTGAGGCACAGAGAGGTTCAATAACTTGTCCAAGTTCACACAGCCAATAAGTGGCAGAGGTGGTGTTTGAACCCTGACAAGTTTGATGTGAAAGCCTCTCTTATTAAGCATTGAGCTGTACTGCTTCTAACTCACAACTACAGAATATATAATAGATTATAGCAGCAGCAAAACAGAAGCACCAAGGAAATGAGCATAAAATGTTTTGAAAGTTTGAAAGAATTTTATGTTTGTTATTTTAAAAGAAAAAACATCTATTATGTACTCCTAGGAAAAACTGCAAATTGGCTAGTATTACTTTAATATTGAATTACATATGGGGTAGAAAGCACCATAATCTTTTCAATAATTAGGGTTTCTCAATATGTTAAGCTGGTTAAGAAAAAATACATATAAACAAAATTATATTAGAGCCTCCAGAAAAGAGAAAGTACTCAGAAAGTGAACATCTGAACACTACCTAACTGTATACATAAGCATCAGCAGAGTGGGAACTACGGAAGAAGTCCCCAAACATGTTGAACGGTTAAATGGTTGAAAAGAGACAGTGTGTTCAGTAATACTGAGAAGGAGGCATGAGTACAAACCACGAGAGCTAGGTCATGGCTGGAACCGTGGGCTGGTATCAGACTGTAAAGGACGAACACATCATATGAGGAGTTTGGGCAAGTGTCCCCATAGGTCGAAAGTTGACAGTGGTAGTTTTTAAGAACAGTAACATGAACATTTGTTTTTAAATAGAAGTCCTGGGGATAGGTTGGAGGAGGAAATGAATTAGAGAGAAAACATTGATAGGAAGATTAAACAATCTTGTGAAAAGGTGATTAAAACCTGGTCCAGAGCTAGTGGTAGAAATGAAGAGGAGGCACTGAATTTGAGAATATTTCTGAAATATAATCTGGTGAGTTTTGGAGATCAGTTGGAAATGGGCGAAGAAATGAAGGAAGAGTCAAAGATGACTTCAAATGGTGATATCACTCATTCATTCATCACTCACCTATTCCACATATCAGGCTTCACACAGGCTGCACCTGGGAGGTGATACTTCAAGTACATCTTGAAAAACATGGACAAGGACATTCCAGGCAAAGAAAGCCACATGGGGAAAATGATGAGAAACTAAAAATCTGGTAATGCAGGGGTTCGCGGTGGCATCAGCAAGAATAGCTTCACTGGAGTGATGGAAGCTGAAGCCATATTGAAATGCACTGTTATGTGACCAAGAGCTGAGTTAGTGGAGAAAGAGTGTGTGTAGACTATTGTTTCAAGAAGTTCGGCAGTAGAGGGAAGGAGAAAGTTAGAGCAGTAACATAAGGATGAGAAAGAGAGAGAAAGAGAGCGAGAGAGAGTTTGTGTGTGTATACGTGTGTTCAAAGAAGGCAGTCAAAATGCCAACAACAAAGAAAGGGAAAGGCCAGAGTTACTAACTCATCTGATCAAAAGAGAGATTATAAATTTTCAAGAAATTCCAAACACAGGTAGGAGAACCAAAGAGGCAAAAAAGTGTGTGTGCCGCAGGCCCACCCCCGCTACCGCGGCTCTAGCACACCAACAGCTTGGCTAGGGAATAAAGCAGGAGAGAGGAGGGGGTGAAGAAAGATTCATCCAGAGCTGATCAGCTGGGCAAACAGGTTGAGGGGAACCCACACCCAAGGTGCAGTAGCAGGTTATGTGCAAATGAGCTGTCTCTGAACCTCAAAACAGAAACTTCTCTCTTGACAGCATCCTACCAGGAGAAGGAAACGGGGCTAAGACCTGATTCCAGAAGCAATGATGGAAATTCATTATACTTTGTAGAGAGCTTATTAGATGTTTAATAAATGACTCCTTACACACACACACACACACTCAATTTAAATGGAGTCTGTACACTATTCTAGTTTTAGAACACCACCCTGTGACAGATGGTTACTAGACTTACTATGGTGATTACTTTGTAAGGTATATAAATGTTGAATCACTATGTAGTACACCTGAAACTAATACAATATTGCATGTCAACTATAATTAAAAATAGGGCCGGCTGAGTGGTGCGTTGGTTAAGAGCTGGCTTGGGACACCAGCTCTGAGCAGTAGGGCCCCGGTTCGGATCCCACATGTGGGCCAGTGATGCTGTGCCCTCTACAGCTAAGATGGTGAACAAAGGCTCGACCTGGAGCTGGGCTGCCGTGAGTCGCCAACGACGGCATAGGCTGCAGCCCCTGCTGCAGTGGATTGCCATAAGCTACCGTGAGTGGCGGGCAACCAGCGTGAGCTGCTAAGAGCCACCGTGAGTGGCCGTCCAGAGGCTGGCGACCGATCTGCCTCACCAGGGAAGAGCGCAATGATCACAGTACCAACATGGGCCAGTGAAGCAACATCCTCCACAACTAGACTGAAGAACAAAAGAACA